CACAAAGGTCCTGGGCAGCCAGAGCAACTTTTGAAAAGAAAGTGAAGGCATTTGTGGCGCTTTGTCTCTGACTTACTCTAAGGCTCTGTGCGGGAAGCAGTGTACCTGGGTCTCTATCTCCCATCATGCATCCAAATTCACAGACTTACGTGTGAATGTGGAGTCTGCGGAGCATCCAGAGAAGACATGGGGGGAAAGGCATACAAGAAAAAGTGGATAGTGCGTGGAATGCCATCAAAATTCAAAACCTCTGTCTGTCCTGACTGCCCACCCCACCGTCTTTCTGGGGATCGAATATAGGAATTCTCATATCCTAGGCAAGTGCTCTAACACTAAGCTAGATCCCAGTTCTCTTTTTGAGGCAGGGTCTCACTAAGCTGTTCCGTCAGGCCTTGAACTTGTGTGTGTGCTGCATTAGCCCGAGCAGCAGGAATCACAAGCCTGTCCCCCTAATCCTACCTCAAACTTCTGCTCTTTAGAAGTATCGAACCAAAGACAGGTAAAATATTGCCAATACTTTTGACAAAGGACTTGTGTCCAAAATATGTAAAGAAAGCCTAGAGTTGATTAATATAAAGACAACCTCCCCCAGAGAAGATATTCTAATAACCATATGAAAAAGTGTTCAACCCATCATTCACCAATGGGACAATACAAATTAAAGCCACAATGAGATACTAGTACAACTTAATAAAACAGCAACAATTAAGGTAGAAGAAGGCTAGCCGCATGCAGCAACTGGAATGTTCAGACATTCCTGTGTAAATGGCATAGCCAAGTTGGAAACCATTTGGCCATTCCCTATAAATTAAACATACACCTAGTAGGTGACCCAACAATTCAGTCCCCCAGACAGTTACCGAAGAGACATATGTCCACAAAAGAGCTGTTCATGGGTGCTCACATCAGCTTTTTTTTGGGAATAGTTGAAAACTAGAACTAACTCAGATGTTCATTAATTATGGAATCAAAAAAATGTGGTATGCCCAAATAATAGAATACTACTCAGGAGCCAGGTGGTGGTGGTGCACGCCTTTAATCCCAGCACTTAGGAGACAGAGGCAGGCAGATCTCTGCGAGTTCAAGGCCAGCCTGGTCTACAGAAGTGAGTTCCGGGACAGCCAGGGCTACCCAGAGAAACCATGTCTTGAAAAAGAAAACAAAACAAAAAGAATGCCACTCGGGAATAAAGAGGAAAGAGCTACTGAAATATGTAGCAACACAGATAAATCTCAATAAACAGTATCTACAAATGTATAATAATCATGGTCAACTCACAGAAACTATAAAGGTGTATCCGTTTGAAAGACCTAGATCGTGTTCTTAAAATGAATGTGGTATATTACATGTAACGAGAACTTGGGGAAAATACAGGTGATGTTTTGTTTCTTCCATGAACCCACAAGGACAGCACCTGAACAGTCACACTGGCCAATCATCTGGGCTCTCCCAGGGTGCTGTGACCACAGAGAGAGGCCAAGTCTGTCCTGACTCTGAGATACCTGTGATGTGTCATTTGATCAAGTCTCTTGTCTACAGAGTCCCTAACACCTGGAGCCCCCACGTCTCCTCACCCTGACAGACCTGGATGTTCAGGGATTCCTAATGGTCTTGTGACTTAGCCTGGATTGACAGACAGACAGAGCTTATGTGTGGTCTCTGCACATGCTACATCCCATCACCCAGTTCAGTCCTGAAGTCCCCCCAGGTGCTTTATCATAGATGTTGCTCCAGTGTGTATACATCTACAGAGGGCCAGAGGGATGGACGACCATGGTATCAACCTCGATGATGCTGTCTATCTTTAAGATAAGATCTTCCACTGGACTGGAGCTCATCAGTTAGCCTAGATTAGCTGGCTCAGTATGTCCCAGGGATCCTCCTGTCTCAGCCGCCCCAGCGCTGAGACATGCCACCACATGTAACTTTTTTACATGCGTGCTGGGGATCCGAACTCAGGCTTTCATGCTTGTGAGGCAAGCGCTTTACTGATGAGCCATCTCCCAGCCCTGTAGATGCAGCTTTCTAAAGCATAGTTGACTTCAGCGGTCCTTTGCAAGTGCGTGGCCTCTGTACTGGTGGAGTTCCTTTCTTCTCTAGGGACAGACAGAAAAGGCTGCAAAAGCACAAGCCTTCGAGTCCCAGGTCTGAATCCCAGCCTTGCCTGCCGCTGACTGTGCGACTCTCGGGAAATGTTTTAACTTTCTAGGCTATCACTGATACTAACGCCCATCTTCAAGGCAGGTGTTCAGCTTGGGCGCTGAAGGTCCAGCAGGGTCCCTACTAGGCACTGAGTGCTCAGTGCAGGCTTGTCCTTGGCATTCCAGCCACCTCATGTCCTATTGCTATCCTTTGAGAGTCCACCTGGCAAGTTAGAAGGCCATGGAACCCCGTCTGCACCACTTTGAGGAACGCGTGGCCTCTTCCACTATAGCCGAGAGGGTCTGAGAGAATTCACCAAGCAGGAGAGGGAGGCCACTTTCCAACCCTCAACCTCTGCAGATGCTGTGCCCTTGGGACATCACACAATGACAGCTTATGAGACTGTTCCCTATACAAGACAGAGAACCAACGTGAGGCAGGGCCTGGTTTCTATCCTGTCCCTAATTGGCTGTGTGACACCAGGCGACTTCTCTGGACTTTCTGCTTTCTACCTACCCAGGAATTGCTTTAAGGGTCCTATGAGAGTAGGGGCTTGGTGCAAAAATAATTTATAGACTTCTCCTCGGCTTTGTTACGTCACTATGGCCACCACTGAAGCGGGCTACAGGCAACAAAAAAGCCACTGCTTGCTCCCTGTGGCTTGGCAGGGGGACACCTGATCTGAAAAATGGGGAAAACAGGTGACCTTTTTGAAGCAGGGGGTTGGTCACTCCTCACTCTGAAGTCATTGGCTGCGAAGACCCCAAAACGACTGGGACCAAAATTGCTGTCACCTGTCTCCTCATCGCTGAACCCCCTTTCATCAGGAAATAAAGGACGGTATTTCATGTCGGTATTTCATGTTATACTTAGAAATGAGGCTTCAAAGGCGGCTGACCTAAGGACGGATAGGCTCATTGCTCCACGGTCTCCCTAGAGTGTGGATGACGGACACCAGAGGAGCAAATGCTGACGGGAAGCTAGGAAACCTGGTCCGACTAAGTCACAAGAGAGTCTGCCCCCTCACCCCCAAATGGGGCCTACCCATTCCCCGGGCCCAAACATTTGACAGCATGAGGCTTGTGTGTGCCTTTTCAGTTCTCCCAAGGAGGGGTTCCAATACTCACCCCCTCAGTCTGGCTCCAGACATAACTAACCATCTCCCCTCTTATTTTCAAGGCTGTCCCTTGCTCCCCTGCCCCCAAATTTGTTCCCTTTCAAAACACCAGCCAGGGTGGCCCAGGCCTCTTGGGATCCCCTCTCCTCCTACCTTCTCTGACCTTCACTCCTGCCTCCAACCAAAAACCCAAGGGAACACAAGGGTCATGGAAATGGTTGCTGTTGCTTCCTCCTCCATCCCTCAGAGACTGCTAGGTCTCGGATACCTGGAACCCTCTTGGTTTCCTATACCAGCATCCTCAGTAGCAGTAGTTGGATGCTTATTGCATGCTAGCCACTATCCTATGGACAGCATAAGCGCTAAACCAGGCACTGCTATCCACATTCTACAGACCAGGCGCTAAGGAGCAGAGTCGCTAAGCGAGGCAGTCAGTGGCACAGAACCCTGAAAGTGGCAAGATCGAACTCAGAGCTTGAGTCCTCTCCCACTGAGGGATGTTCTTTCCGGCTGAACCTACACCTGCTGCTCTGGGGGTGGGTCAAAAGGAGATACTGAGTCCCCAGCAACTGGGCAGTCTTCTCTGGTCATCATTCACTAGGTTCTGCACTAGGGTTGGGATTGACAATCCCTCCCCGTGTATTTCAGGGGAGGTTGTTGCTTATCGTCCAGGCACATTTTAGCCAGGGGTCATGACCTGGAAATTAACCTGCAGTCCCTATTCCAGCCTGTGAGGTTGCCCCAAGAGCCTCACATGCCCTCTGGGGTGGCTTCCTCAGAGCAGCCTCGGGCCTGTTGCTTGCTGCGCTCAGACTATGAGCCTTGTCTGACAAGGGGTGAAGCAGTCAGAAAAAAAGCCAAGTTTAAAATTAAGTATTTGGAACCTGCTTTGGGTGGAGGTCAGGAAGGTAACTTTAAAATCCATGATCCCTGCCATCACCACCAGCCCAGCCCTCACCAAGAATCTGCAATTCAGGTTCAGGGAAGACATTTACAGACAAATGCTATTTTACTTCTTCCTTCCGACCATCTCCCTCAGGTTCCCGCCCCACTTCCCAGTTGTTACCACAAACTGTAATCATTTTCTTAGCCATGTACGCCCCCAAATGAGCCTCTTTCCCTCTCTTTGCCATGAACCCTAGAATTCACGTCCCCACTCCTGTTTGGGGTTTAATTTGATCGCATTTTCTTAGAGACCTGGCCTGCAGTCCCGGGATCTCCCACGTCCTTGGATCAGCAAAACTCTCAGCGCCCACTCCTCCCCCCGCCCCTACCCACCAATCCCTCCACCCAGCCAGGTGTTCAGGTCCCAGATCTGCGGGGAGAAAGTGAAGGATACAGAAATCTCAGGCTAGGGGTGTGGCTGAACCGAGCCCAGGATGGGGACTGACGGGGCACAGAGAAAGTATCCGAAGAGGACACGGGAGCCCGAGCCCACACTTGGACCGGCAGGGACAGGGCGTGCTGGGGGTATCAGGCTAGGATTCCAGGCGCGAGCAGGGCTTAGGCTGGAGTCTGACAGCCGCCAGGCTGAGAAACCGGGTGGGGCAGGGGACCCAGACTTGGATTCGGGAAAGGGAGGTGAAGTCTAAGCTCAGAGAGCCAGGGATAGAGATCCGGGCGCAAAGTGCGCCCGCAAGGCGGTCGGGGTCCTGTCTGGGCAAAGGGCTGAGTTCGGGGCCTCGCAGGGATTGGAACCGGGACCAGGCACGCGGAGAGCGGGGATGCGACGGGCACTGACCCGAAGTAGGCGGCGGCGGCGGCGGCGGGCAGCGCCAACAGGCAGAGAGCGGCCAGGACCAGCGCGGGCGCGGGGCGCATGTTGCCGACTGCGGGCGCACTCTTGCATCTCCTCGCGCCACTGGGCGCTCGCGGCGCCGCCACCAGCCGCCCGTGGGGCTTTAAACCTGGGTGGGGCGGAGCGCAAGCCTCCCGGAGAGTGAGCGGCGTGGCCGGCGAGCCCCCTCCCTGCCCCATTGGCTCCGCCGCGCTCTGCCCGCCTCATTGTGGGAGGGGCCATTGCCAGATCCCGCCCCGCCCCAGGTGAGCTCTCACCTGGAGTCGCGCCCAGTCCAGGACAGAGGGCAGGATGGTGCAGGACCCAGGGCCCGGAGAGGCAGAAATGGAGGTTTGGGGGTCAAGGAGATGTTGCCTCTCCCTAGGGGGATGCAGGGGCAAGTGAGCTCTGTTCGGAGCTGAATAGTGAAAAAGGGGCGACTCGCCTGGACTCTAGCGCAAAACCTCGTGGTCGTGGTTGTCCTGCTGGGCGGGTTCAGCTTTCTCTGCACAGGGATTTAGAAGGCTGCGAGTCCTTCTCTAACAGTAAGAGAAATTCACATCCGATGACTGGGAGAACTCTTGGTCAGAAGGCAACACAGAGGGCACCTGACCTTAAACACAAGGCTGGTGGTCGTGAGCGAGGTGCCAACAGCCGTGTTGACTATGCTGGCCAGAAATTCAGACTGTCTGGAGAATGAGGTAGAGTCACAGATTTTCATCAGATAGCATGCGAGTCTCCCCAACGCTCCCTGCTGCTTTGTAAAAGTTTGACTGCAATTCTTGTAAAGAAGCAGGGGGGGGGGGGTGACATTAGTCTGGGAAGGTGACACATATCCAAATGAGCTTTCAAACGTCTTTGGGAGTCTTGAACATCGGGCCCAATCAAGAAAAAAAAAATCTAGCTTGTAGTGATCGTCAAATCTTTGCGTCAATTTTCAAAGGAAGGAAGGAAGGAAAAGAAAGAAACCAGACATCGAGTTAGAACACTGGGTGACAGTGACCTTGGCTTTTGGGTGGATATCAGCGTGATGGGGGCTGGAATTAGGAAGATTTATGTCAGTTCTGACACCAAGTAGTGGCAACAGAGGAAACTCAGCTGCCGTGAGCCTCTGGGCTGCTTCACTGTGCAGAGCAAGTTCACTGTGGACAGCCCAGCCGTCACATGACCCTTTTGCTCTAACAGCTCCGTGGTCCTATCACATCCTATATGTTGAGGCTGCAAGGCCCAGGGTGGGCTTCCGAGAACTGGAATTCAATCACGTGAACATCAAATTCCAGATGTGAAATATGGGAAGGGTGATAAATAACTGGCAAGATGTCTGTGCACATGAGATGTCAACTAGAGAGGACGCTAGGACTGCTGCACCTGCAGGCAGGAGCCCGCCCGATGTTGGTGTTAGCCCTGGCGGGGGATGAGGGATGGGTGTGTGGTTTCTGTGACTTGTTGATTTCCAGGCTGTAGATGTAAATGTCCCCTCCGAGGCTGATTGTATACCATTACTATGCTCACTAGTCACGACAGCATGGGGGAGGCATGTGCACGGCCAGCTGGGCAAGCTGGCTAAACCTACCTCCGGTTCATTCCTTGTAAAACTGTCCTAGCTCTCTGGAGTCAGAGGCAGGCGGATCTCTGAGTTTGAGGATAGCCTGGTTTACAGAGCGAGTTCCAGGACAGCCGAAGGTTGTCTTGAAAAGCAAAGCAAAACAACCCCCCCCCCAAAAAAAAAAACCAAGCAACAACAACAAAACAAACTGTGAACTCGCATGCAGGAGGCTCGGAGGAGAAAGGAGCTCAGCAGAATCTGTGTGAGTGCTGTGGACTGGAGTAATGAAAGATACCAGTGAGTCTCGGCCACACCCACTGGCAACCTCGTGTGGGTAGAGGATGAGGGAGAGTGTCCAGCTTGGGCTGCTCCGACTGCCCCTCCTGCCCGAGAGCCCATGAGTACACTTATGCACAGAAAAGGCAGGATGGGAGGGAGAGGAAACAGTTCCTTCCCACTGATGCGGGGACCTGTTGCTGTCTCATGGGAGGTTACACTAGGAGAAGGCTGGAGGAAGCCTAAGGAGTCCGTGCAGACCTCGGTGGTTAGAGAATAAGACACAGAACGTGTTCACACCACGCTCTTGAGCTCTCGACAGCCAAGAGAGTACCTCCTCACCCTAAGCTCCCTTCCTTCTGAAGTTAGAACCCTGTCAGGGCTTTGTCTCCTGGGTGTTTCCAGAAGCTCACAGACCTTTCAGAGCTGCTTCTGCTTTGTGACTGCATAGCTCTACACAGCAGCCAAGGACATCTTCTCCTCACTGGCTGTAGGAATCCCACAGCAGTTTCCCTCCCTGTGGGTACTTGGGACTCCATGGGTGTTTGGCCCCAAGCCCCGGCCCATGGTCTCACTGAAGTCTCAAGTCCCTTGGTAAGCCGGGGCAGTCACTGTCCCAATGTTACAGATGAAGGCAGCAAAGCTAGGGGACTCAGCTACAGGAACGGAGGCAGGAGTGGAGTCCAGCTGTGTGGTTAGTGAGAACACTTGCTGTGGGTCAGGATGGCTGTGGACGACTTAGGGATACAGGCATGGCCTGATGCTTGGCAGCCTTTGCATGATCCACGCTTTCTGAATATGGTGCAGTTTCTAGGTGCTCACCCTCAAGGGAAGCACATATGGTCTAGAGGCAGAGATGGGTGATGAAGCCGATAGCCTTATAATTGCAATATTGAGAAAGGATCTGAGGGGTGGCATTGGAGAGCACAGCATTGTGCTGATTGCTCTGCTCCCGCTGGGCTGCCCTGCCTTGTAAGCTCAAGGGCAAGGCTGAGCTTTTTTCTTCCTCTCTCCAGTGTCTTCAGAACTGTGCACAGGATCTAGCATGGTGTAGGTGCTTAGGATGTTGTCGCCAGCTCAGAACCTTGGTCCCTTGCTCTGCTGCCTTTTTAGGAAGCTACAGATATGTATTGTCATGTTAACATGATACATGCTCACAGATGCACTCTTTCCTATGCTGACAGATGTTCCAATGAGCATGCAATAGGCTCGTGTATGAGAGAGAGAGAGAGAGAGAGAGAGAGAGAGAGAGAGAGAGAGAGAGAGAGAGCACACAAGTCCAGGCAACCAGTAATACAGACCCCCTTCTCTTATGTTCACCCCTGTGAATGTCTAAATTCCTAAGCAGACCTACAGCTGCTGCTCTGGGATACACACGTTCACACAGGTATGCAAGAGAGGCATTCTTAGCCATCCACAAGCAGCTACCTGTCTCCATGAACCAGCCCAAGGCAGCCACTGCTTAAGGATGGAGCATTCTCCTCCCACTGAGCACACACACACACACACACACACACACACACACACACCCTGGAGGTGATGAGCAGACAGCAAAAGCTTTACTGCTCTGCATCAAATTCAGCTGGAGGGGGAGGGGCTCTCTAATTTGTCTTCCTCTTCGCCCCACCCCTTCCCAAGGCGACCATCTGCCTGATACCAAGTCTTGGGAAGCACCCTTGCCTGGCTCCAGTTCTTCACACCTCCAACTCTCAAGCAGGAGCTTGCCCAGAGGACCCTCTGAGCCCCCACTAGGTCCTAAGCAAGCAGAGATTTGACTTCCCAGGCAGCCTGCTCCCTGCAGCCTCCCTCCCAGCTGATGGACTCTGGACCAATAGGAAGTGGGCAATAGTGCCCAGAAGCCTGAGGGAAAGTGTCAGCTGCTAAGAGGCTGGTCACTGGAAGTCCAGAGAGGCCCAGGGCAGTCTGTGTACCTGTCTCTCTCTTTGTCTCCCCCACCCTCTCTGGTTACAGTACTAGGGCCTCGCTGTGACCTGCTTGTTCTAGCCACTCACACCAGTCCTAACCCCACGAATCTGAACCCCATTGGCAACATCCTTGTGACACCTCACTTGAGTGTGACTCTGGAGCACCATGAGGTGACTCATCTGTCCTCACCGCCCCCATTCTATGGATGAAAACACTGAAGTCCAGAGAGGTAACTTTCTGAAGGTCACAGAACTCACTGATGTTTCCAGAACACCTGCCTGAAACAGGACTAAAGCTGAGTGGGAACAAAGGTATCAGGATCCCCACATAAGACACCCACCCTTAAGCCTGAAAATGCTGCTCCCCCAAAAGAGAAAGGAAAGAGACCAAAATGTTAATAATGGGTGTGTTGGAGGGTGTAATGGGGTAGGAGTAAAGACAGTTTGATTTTCTTTGTGTTCTGCAAGTATTGTAGTGCAAGTATGCCTTGCATTTGCATTAAAACAAAAGTCATTTAAAAGGGAGGTAGGCTGGGGCTATGGCTCAGTTGGTAGAGGCTTTGCCTAACAAGCATGAAGCCCTGGGTCTGATCCCCAGTACTGCGTAAACCAGGCGTAATGGTGGCACACCCCTGGGATCCCAGCCCTTAGGAGATGGAGGCAAGAGAATCAGAAGTTCAAGATCATCTTCAGTTACACAGAAGTTCAAATCCAGTCTGGGCTACACGAGACCAAGATGGAAGGAAGGAGGGAGGAAGAAGGAGAGTGGGGAGAGGATCAAAATGAATCTTGACAGTAGAATTTTAAGCACTGGTGAGAAACTGTTTGGGAAGGGGAAGGACTGTGCTGTGGGATCCATTATCAGTACTTCAGAAAGCCTCGTCCTTCCTTGAGGTGCCCAGTCCAGAATCCTGCCCCTAGCCTTACATTCTTCCTTCTCTGCTGACTTGTTCCCTCTCCCTCGTCATGCTGGTGTGTGTGAGGAGGGCGACATGACATGCCCTCTCTCACCTGCCTGGGGCCCTTCTCCAGCCCTTGAACACGGCTGTATCTCACCAGGAAAGGCTGGATGGAGAGGGAGATGCCCTTTAACAACCCCGACACTGGTTGCTTCCCTCATCAAGGCAGCAGGTTTCCTCCTGGAAGCCTTGACCAACTCCAGCCTTGGCTCATTCATCACTGACTTGAGAAACCTCACTGGCACATGATACCAGTGACCACTCGTCCATGGTGCCCTTGAGTTTAGGAGATGTCTGGGATCCTTACGGAACTAAGAGCTTGTGCCCTGAGGCTTTTTCCTTCCTCCCTCCTTTTCTCCATCCCCCTCCTGCTTCCTTTT